GCGTGTATATGTTGTTTAAAAAAATGATAATTTTGATTTGTCATTATTTAAAATTGTTTGTATAAAGAGTAGATATTTTATTTATTGAGATTTATCAACTGACCTTAAGACAGCCAACTTTAACCATATAGTAGGCTAGATTTCTTCACACTTTATGTAATCATTTGGATTTTTATCGGTTTATAAAAAATCTTACCTAACAGAATCCTGAAATTGATTATAAATGAACATTTTAAAATTGAGTAAAATAACCTTAAGTGATTACAGGTAATTAAACGCCTTTATTGCATGCTAACTTCAATTATCCAATATTTCGGGATTTGTTGCCAAACAGCTGAGTTTTTTTATGTTTCATGGTGATCATAAGAATCAGTGGCAGTTGTTTTATATGTTACTAAGTGGAAACGCTAATTTATTTCAATTGTGCTAACTTGAACAAGCCAATGACGTGTTTACGTAAACCATATTATGACGATTACATACAATTGTTTGTGTCATTTGCATGGGTTTTATGTTTGAATGTTCAGTAGATAATAACATGCGTTATTCTATATTGTGTATGACAATGTTAACATGAACATAATACGAATGTATGCATTCGCAAGAGCGCCACCGTGCGACCATCTGGCATCAACTTTAAGGTTCTAACACGGAGCTGAATTCCACTTACCACGATTATTCCAGGACACACTTGATACTTTTCAAACGAACACATAGATACGTGCATGCGCGTAAAATTGGTTTTGAGAAAATTCACATGCCAAAATAATGGCATGAAACAAACCAGCACGTGGACTATCTGTTTAATCAGTTTGAATAACATCGACTGCAAGTAATTGACACGAGCGTTGAGATGCATTGTACGTTTCCTTGGTTACCGGTGTTACTGTCTTAAGGGAGTCAGCAAGCTATCAACTCTATTATCTATTGGCTTGCGTTTTTTACTTAATAACGTATGATTGATTGATTTTAGTGGCCTTTTCTATCAGCGTGGGCATATATTTCTGTTTTTCTAGCTCAATTTCCCCACAGCAGAATTTGCTGGGAAACCGATGACAAAATAATAAATGGCAGTCTGAAACGAAAACAAATACTACCAAGCAAATACGTATAACCTTACATGTTCTTACAGTATGACATATACAAGACATCATTTGTTTTTATGAGAGCCCCTTATTGACAATGGTGATTTACTGATTGATTTAATATATACATATTCAAGCTTCTTTATTGCACTTTGAACCAAAGACACCCAGTAATAATAGACATGTGTGTAACATGACAGACATACCAACATTTGTGTTATGTTTCCAAAACTACCCCCCCAATAATTACATGATAATTAAAATACACTTTATTTTGTTTGAAAAATACACGTGTATATAGTTTATTAATTATAAATCGTGGGCATGATATGGTTACATGAACACGATACTTACGAGTGGAGAGTAATTGACCGATAAAACACAGTTGGCGTGTAGACGACCAGTTAAAGGTTAAATATTTGAGCTCGGTATTTCAAACTCACATACTATGTCATAAACAGGTCATTGCATATAACCACGAACATTCCAGATCGGTTTATTATATACATGAATAAAACATATTAAATTAAAAAAAAAGTTTACAGTTGAGCTACACCAAATTTCTTGCTTGGAATGTTACTTGATATACATATACGTCATCGACCCATGGCTGAACACATCAATCAACGTTAACGTGTCATGACGGAGTTATAAGCTTTTTTTGTTTGTGCTTGTTATGAAGGATTCAATCTGGTAGACATAGTACAATATGTTGACATAAGTTGGTTGCTACGTAAAAACCTCTGCGCTACGCCTGAAGATACATGTTGTTGGACAACAACAACTAACCAAGACGACCGAGAATAAAATCACTCCCGTCTTTACATAAGGATGGGGTCATGGGTCGCCTGGTATTCGTAATATACTTATAATGGCCATTGCGAGCAGGCCCGCCAATATGTAAATATAACTGTGATTGGCGTACTGTGAATATAGTAGTTGTAATGAGCGTCCGTTAACGGAGAGCTCACAATCAATGCCAAAGTAATAAAACATCAAGACAATTAAATGTTAGGTAACGCTAGGTAAACTTTTCAAAATAAACTAGAATGACTGGGACTTTAACGGTGGCCTTACATAAGGTTTAAGATCATTTGAGTGTGTTCAAGGCTGGTAACATGCTAATTTTCCCAATATAGATGACCTCACTCCATAAAAAGTGTCCTCGCTCGGGAGTATCCAAGGCTAGTAACAAACGTGTAAAACTAGACCATGTAGGGGGTATGACGTAAGCAATCTGCGCATGTGCGTATATCTGTTAATAAAACAAAAACATAAAACTCAGTTCAATTTCTGAAAACAGTGATACACGTCCCTTTTTCCGTACAATAGACGTCGAGATCATGAAGCAAATAACGCAACTGTTTATCTTGTTTTTCGCTTTTGTGAGTGTCATCAGAGCAGTTCCAGTCGAACTTGTGCCAGCAGTAGCAGAGCAGAATGATAATAAACTAACCATTCATGCTGACAATGTGAGTGAGAAAGATGCGAAGCATGTCGTTGAAAGAAGATGCTCCCCCGATTGTGACTTGATGTAACTATCTTGGGAAATATCTATCAATAGAAGCATGGAACGTTAGTGACTTTGCGGTACTGTAAAGATCAACATCTCTCACGAACGGTAAATGCAGTTATAGGAGTCTGCTGAATATTGCAAATTTTATCTTGCACGTTCCCTTGTTTGGAAAACAACTCCCAGCTTGTATGTAGTCGTCAATGCGGTGCCTTTGTAACGTTCTCAGACTATGTTGCAGTATGATATCTGTCAGCTTGGGTGTTATGTAATGATTATTTTGACTAATCTTGAATTTTCAAGGTGAATGTTCCGGGTTGTAGAGGGAGGAATGTCCGAACGGAACAACACCGTGGAAGCGGACGATGATTTTGACTCTCACAGAAAATATCGGCGTGGGGTTGAGCTAATGGCATTGTTCACTATATGCTGTCATTAGGTTTTAACTGAACTGTAGTTTAAATTGATTAATTGACCCCACGTGAACCTAACTGAGTGTAACTATTGTGCGGTAGATGTGCTCATGACATATGCACCCAACCCACAAACTGACGTGCTATCATATGATGTTAATAATGTCAACAGACGTGTATATGATTGGTTTAATGCACGAATATGACGAGTAATTGTCATTATCATGGCTTCAGTCACCGCTCAGCTCGCATTGAACTACCATGCTATGTGTATTTGTCGGGGTGAACGAGTTTATTTTCTCAATGTAGATGCAGACAGAAACTAATACGATCCCAGGTGCTCGAGATGACAACGGAGCGACAAATTCAATTTCTCACTTAATTCAAGTGTATATAGTCGTAACGACAGAGTGTATAAATTCATTAAAATGTGGATGCAGGTTTTTGAGTGTTTTTGAACCTGCATCTATACTTTTAACAGTGTAATTGTTTGCATTCAATATAATGTATATAGATACTCTGAGAAGTAGACAGCCATCCCTAGATTTATGATATAGAGATATATGTGCTATATGTTTAATAAAATATAGTTTTTTTCTGCATGTATATAAGGATATTTATAATACGATAATTGAGTCGAAAACATTCTGTGATAATTTATGTCATAGCAAGTATTATGATATTATAAAAAATACATACAATTCATGTTTGTTATTTGATTGTTCCGTCTTTTATCTGCTGTGTAGAAACATAAGTACCATATCTAGAGAGCACATGACAATTAGTCTCAACATTTAAGGTGTACTGATAATAATGAACCTAGTTTTATCTCGACGCTATAGTATGTGTTACTGCTACCCACCTAGGTCTATAAAGTAAAAATACGCAATTCATCACTAAATGTATGTCATAACACAAATATCACTATAGCACAGAATGCTTCAGCAATATTTCAAATCGTATGGTAATACCAATATAAGCTAAACTTACAATAAAATACGCAGTACAAAAGCACTAATAAAAACATGCTTGGATCCATACAGAAATTATAATGAATAAACCCGAAAATCACAAAATTTAATTTGCATACAACATTTTTAGATAATATTTGTTCACAAATAAATATATTTATTGCTATATATAACGGGATCAAACTATATATAACGGGATCAAACTGCAAGGAAAATAAAAGCGGTATAATCTCTACCAATGGAAAACAATTAACTATAATAAAATCAGTGTTGCCTC